GTGGTGTGCAGTGGTATGCAGTGGTGGTGTGCAGTGGTATGCAGTGGTGGTGCGCAGTGGTGCGCAGTGCAGCACAGCGCCGTGCAATGCAGTGCGGTGCAGTGCAGTGGTCTGCAGGGCTGTGCAATGTAGTGCAATGGTCTGCAGGGCTGTGCAATGCAACGGGGTGTACGTGCAATGTAGTGCAATGGACTGCAGGGCTGTGCAACGCAACGCGGTGTACGTGCAATGCTGTGCTGTGCAGCGTAGTGCTGGGCAATGCCGTGCCGTACAGTACTAGGCCGTGCAGTGCGCTGTAATGCGGGCAGCTCCGAGAGGTTCAGGCCTGTCCCAGGTGGCTGAAGGCAGCTGCAGGTTGGTGTGCGCAAGGTGCGCGGTGCAGATCTGGCAGCGCAGGAAGGGGCAACGCAGGTGGATGCTAGCACGGGGCGTTTGGGATTGAGCTGCAGCGGGCAAAGCCAGTCCCTGTCTGCAGAGGGCTGATCTTCCTAATAGCGGTATGGCTGTACTGCTGTGCTCGTGAGCACCTGGCTCTGGAAGCAGTGGCAGCACATCTGGAAACAGTGCTGGCAGCGGTCCAACGCAGCACCTCCCCCAGCTGCGAGCAGCTCTTGGTGGAGATGTGGCCACCGTGTGCTGCTGAAGGTTGGACCCTGTCGCATTGGGCCAAGGTGCCGCTGCGGTGGTTCTGTCACCAACGTGCCTGGTGCCACCTCAAAAACAGAGCTGAGGAGCTGGGCTGATGGGCCAGAATTGCATGGGCTCGGCTCAGGCCTCAGGGGTGAGCGCAGAGTGAACTCGGGGTGTTGTCTGGGGTGACTTCACCGATGTGATGAACGTTGCTTACCTCAATGCACTGTCCCACTGAGCATGGGGAAACGTTTCAGATCTGTGCACGCTAAAGGGATCTTGCCGGGAATTTGTAACAGGAGTGGAGAATCTTAAACGCTAGCGAGCAAATGCTCCTCAGCCTTTTCCTCATGAACCCGAGTTGCCCTGAGGGGGAGTCACAGGAGGTTTGGGTAAAAAGCACCTTCCAGCAAAACAAAAGTGACCTCTCTCTGTCCTTCCTTATGCTACTTAAGGGAGGATGCAATTAGCTCCGCTGTAGCATCATTAATAATAGCAGAAGTGCCAAATGCCCTGGGTGCACATGTGGTTTTCAAAGTCATCTGGTCAGAAGGTATGTCCTCAGCAGAAGGGAGCTGTGGTGCAGAGGAGTAACGCTACAGTGGGCAAAGCTGGCATCTGCCAGATGCAACCAGGACCGGGGTGGCAGATAAGCAAACACACCTTTGCAAGTGGAGCTGGATAAACTCATTTTGATTTTATTTTCACTGCAAAATGCTTTCCCTTGGTCAGGACTTAGGCAGAGGATGATGTGCGTAAGGAGAAACACATATAATAAAGGCAACCCAAGAGGGATTTTCTAGCACTGTCCCAGCATCAGCAGGAGCTACTGCTGAGTTCAGTGTCTTGATGAGATAATAAGTACTTTTGAAGAGCAACTTTAATTAAGCTTCCTCTGAATGCCTCGTCTCCTTAATTAAATAACAATTTGCAGTGCTCGCATGTCTGTCAGTTTTGATAGGTACCCTTCTCCTCTTCCTAAAGCAGTTTCTGCCTGCAGGCACCAAGGTGACCTGTGGTGTGACAGCCCTGTCATGGCTCCGGGCAAAGATGCATCAACAGGAGCAGTGCCGCTGGGGAGGGGTGCAAACAGGGGCTCATTCAGCTAAAACCCTCCCAGGAGGATTTAGGTAGCCGTAAATTAAAGAGCTTCGATGTTGGTGGGTCTGGCCCGCCTCAGGGCAGGGTGCCCCATGCAGGGAAGGAGGATGCTGGAGCATTTTGCTGCGGTTCGGACACATGACAGACTGCCCGAGGAGCCCTGTAAACACCCCTGACCTCAAATAAAGTTGCAACTTAGTTGGGCTTCTGCTTTCTATTTCCTTGTATTTGACCTGAAAGATGCCTCGGCTTGTTTTGCGGTGGGTTACAGCTGCTTGGAAAGGAAAACCTGAATCAAGGTTTTGGAGAAAAAAGTGCGGTAAACCCTTCATGCTTGTCTCGGTACTTTGGTTTGATTGACAAGTGCAACGGCACATCGGGATGCAGCTGAAGCCCGAGCTAACATGCCGTACCTAACCGCAGCTACAGCTGGTGTGCCGCCGAGCTGCCCGTGCACCTGGATTAGGGTCACTTGTGCTGGCAGCCCTCCTCAGGCTATGGATAGCCACCCTCCGTCTCTGCCGTGCGTCTTGAGTGGGGAGGCAAGAGAAGCAGCAGGAGGGGTTGGTTTTCCCCGGGACACCCCCATACCTACTGTAGCAGCCCCCCGCACTTTGCACAGCAGAGGCTCTGAGTTTTTCTTCAAAACCCCAATTCTTTTGTAAGTAAACTGCTCTGCAGAGCCAGGGGATGCTGGAAGCTTTGGCTCCAAGCAGCAAGCAGGGAGGCAGGAGTTGGCACGATGCCCCTTGCCTACACCTCCCTCCCAGGGAGGAACATCACCTCTCGCTGCCAGATGGATTTCATCCTTCCACTCTCGGCATACCTGTGTTTTCTAAGTCTCTGTTCACGTTGGGCATTTGCAGAAACGTGGTTTTCCCATGTCGGTGTGCATGGTGGCAGTAGCCCAGATTTCCCCTCTCTAAGCAGACAGAGACCCTTTCTTCCACATCCCGACCTGGATTTCATCCCAGCTGCTCCAAGAATCTGGCCAAGACCCTTCGAAGGCAATGTTAGAGCTCCAGCTCCTGCCATGCATCCGCCCTAGATATATTCTGATGCATCCCAGGGACTGTTTTCAGGGGGATGACTCAGAGCCGTCACCTCCCGGGACAGAGGGAGGGGGCCAGGCGCGATTCCTCCCCCCTGCTGCCGTGCCTGGCAGTGCCCAGGGCCAGCAGCCACCACCCCACCGGCTCCACAGGGAATTCCTAGGGGGATGAAAACAGCCCCAGGCTGGGGTTTGCCTCGGGGCAGCACTTCAGTGGGAGGTCTCCATGGGGGTGCCCAGGATGGTTCGGTGGTGGGGGACAGCAGGTCCCTCATCCCAGCCTGTGCCCTCACCCACAGACAGGCACCGATGCCCTTTAACAAAATAACTACTTCCCTTTGCAGCTTTTTCTGCCTTTTCTATGTTCAAGGCAACCAAAATATTAATATGTTCCAATTCTGAAGACGAACATGCTTCAGAAATTAATTCCTTAAATGCAACTATTTCCCTTTTTGTTACATCTGCCGTCCCCATGCTGAGAAGAGGCAGAGCCCAGCCGAAGCCCGGGTAAATCAAGGCCCACAGTACCGCAGTTCAGAGCAGGCTCTGCAGCAAGGTAATGTTTCAGGACTGCAAAACCTGGGAGGATGATGTGTGGGGACAGGGCACTGCACTCACCCGCACCCTCGCTTCGTGCCGACACCGGCCCGGGTCCCTGGTTAACACCACTTTGGCTAGGCGTTACATAGGGACAGCAGGTTTTTTTCATGTGACATGATCTCTATTAAAGTGAGAGGGATTTTTAGAAGAGATGAAACTTAACAGCTGCATTCATAGTATTTTCAGTTTTGCTAACTAACGCCAGTATGAGCTAGCTAGAAGGTGAGACTTTGTGATCCTGAGATGCTGGAATCATCCGTAGCTCCTTTGGACACAAGAGGGAGTCCTGAATCGCCAAAAAGAGAGATTTTGCTTTGGTTGCTGTGGATTAAAAAGGTTTTCCCTGCACTGACTGAGCTGGTCATCACTTGGAAGCCTTTGGCATGTTTTGCTCGCCACCATGGTGGCATAAATCCACAGTAAATCCAGGAGTGTGGATTTTCCCCATTTGCAGTGGGGCAGGTCAGCTCGCTGGTTGGGTGAACGGAGTCCTGGTTTCCTAAAGGATCAGGAATTATCCCTGAAATCAAGCACAGCTGATAGCCATCCCCCCATTTTGCAGCCCCAGAAAACAGAGGCAAAGCTCCATCTGCCTCCATGCTTCCCCTCGCCGCGGCATCGGGACCACGCATCCCCCCCATCTCGGCGCCTGCCCGCACACGGCGTCAACTCCTCCGAGGGCATCGGCCCCCGGCCTCGTGTCGCCCATGGGTTTGGGGGCAGCTGGCAGAGGGGACAAGGAGGCCCCGACACCCCCTCTTCCCACTGCCCTCAGGGGACATTTGCTGCTGGTTGGGGGTATTTTGGGAGGCATGCCTTTCCCGTATTACCCAATTTAATTAGGTATAGTATAATCTTTCTAATGTGGTTTCTGGGGTGGGGGGGGTTTTTCACGTGGGAAGTGGAGGTGACATGGCGGCATATGTCCCGTCAGGACAGCAGTATATCAGCAAGGGTCCTGCCAAAAAACAGCTAAAAGGGCTTGCTCATTCCCACATCAAAGTCACAAGGAAACCTCCAGCTGCCTCGAAGCGGGGCTGGGGGCTGGCACCCGGCGGGCCAGATTGGGGGTCCGG